TTTTTTTTTTCTAACTAATGGACAATTTTCGATTTAAACCTCGATTTTTTTCTGTTTTTTTCTAAACGCGAACGAGCCGGCTCTTTTAAGTGATCGACGGGAGCCGGCTCTCGCCCGCGAACGAGCTGTTTTTTTTTTTTTTGCGGAGGGATCTAGATCGGCATGAAGGCACATTATGCAATGTGCACATCATCAAAAAAACAAAAAAAACAAATGGTCCGTAGATACACGGACCAATCCAGGATACAAGCCACATAGTTGCACCTGCAAGGAGAATACAGAACAACTCGTTAAAAAATAAACTACCGAGTGTTTGAAAGCGTACAACAGTTTTATGATACTGCTCCATCTAAAACACGAGGGGATCTGACTTTATTACATTTGAGTTGAGTGTTTCGTCAACTTAATGTGTTGCTTAAAATAATACGTCTGCATACAGTATATGTGACAATGTAACTAAGTGTTGCACGGCCAGATACGGCTCTAGAAGCTGACTCAGATAAGGAAATATTGTGATATCGATGTGAGATCGATGATCTGATTGATGATGTGATGTCAGTGTGATATGAATGATAAGTGTGACACGTCGGCGTCTTCTCTGCATACGGCAGTTTAAACTGCATTTCCTTTTTCCTGTAATATGACTTGATAGATTTAAACTCTGCACACTGAGCTCTGATCGGTCAGCAGGCGGTGCTTTCACTGAGTTGATCTCTTTTCTATAGACGCCGGAGGAGGGCAGCGTAAGATGAAAAAAAAAGTTATTTAGCCTTCCCAAACCTGAGCCTCACGCGCCGCCTATGTTAGGCCTACTGTATACATACAAAGGCCATTCAAGCTAGAGTTCTTCTGGAAATGTTCACATCAGGCACCTTCAAGTTAAACAATACTAAACAATTAACACAGTAGGCCTAAATTATGTGGATTAAACCACATTTATTTCGTTAAAAATAACGAAATATGATTTTGTTTGAAAGATGAAATGTCATCAGGAACCTTCAAGTTAAACAATCAGGTGCACACTTAATGTGCCGCCACCTCCGGACTCGGCTTGAAGAATGCACAAATGTGTTTAATCGTTTGTCAGATATGTACTAAGTAGCCTAAATACATTTGTTCCTGCTCAAGATTAGATTCAACTTTATTGTTATTGCACATATTGCAGGTAGGCCTACTGAGACAACGAAATGCAGTTTAGCTTCTAACCAGGGGTGCAACAAGCAGCGAAAAGTAATGTGCACAATACTACAGTAAACAATTAACACAGTAAATTATGTGGATTAAACCACATTTATTTCGTTAAAAAGAAACAAAATATGATTTTGTATGAATGATTAAATGTAGGGTGAATTGCCCTAATGTGGGCCTTTTTTGCATTTCAGACTTCGGGAATATATTGCTATATGAAGCCGATACAATAAATCAAAATCCAGTACCATTCCGAAATCCCCAGTAATATTAGACACTAATAATACAGTAAACTATTAACACTGTACATATTATTGTTTGCCCGTGGGATTAGGATGATCGGTAGTGAGACCTGTGCTGCATTTTCCTCCGGTCGGATGTGATATAAAAACAAAGCGATTATTTTTGTTGTTGTAAACTCACGTGGATTAAACTACATGTATTAGTGCATTCATTTAAACTCGAGAACATATGATACATTAAACGATCGTGAGGATGATGATTGAAAATCGTTTGTTTGAGCCTGGATGCATTTCCTGATCTAAAAACATAGCGATGGTTTTGTACTTACGCCAACGAGAATTAAACATTATTTTGTTAAATAAAAACATGGGGATGTTTAGTAAGTGATTACATGTCTCTTATTTAGCACAGAATATGATCCTATCCGTGACATATGGATCTTAACAAATATCCGCTATATCAGATACCTGGAGATCAGCTGTTTATTTCACATGAGTTCCAGTGTGGCAGCTTTTTAATCACGGCTCCCCCTGGTGGATCCATGATCCATTGCAGCTGGTTTCATTATAATTAAATGTATTTATCAAGGGGGCGTTTCAAGTCCTGCGGGGGGGTTTTCCTTTTCAGCAGGGGCCCACCCCGTGCCGATCACGGACCCGCACTGGTAGGCGTCTGAAATGGAGCGCTCCATCTGTATAGGTGTTGCTATCTGTTTTGTGTAGCGTGGTTCTACAAGCAAGTCAATGCATTCATTGGGTGGCATCAGAGATTTATAAATTGTAAATGCAATGAAAACAATTGGCCACAGCAAATCATTTATATTAAACTTTATTTACTCTTGAATACTTCAGTACAAAGGATGTATTGAATAATTGAAGTGATATGTGTACACAGAGCTGCAGATCGGGTAGTCACAGGCAATGTGGCTGAGTTTTGTGCGCGTTCTGGAAAGTGAGAGAGTAAGCTACTACGGAGTCCCTTAAAGCAAAACAAATCTGCGGAGTTTAGAAATGTTTTTAAATCGCGATTTTTCGGTTCAGCCATTTCACAAACCGTAGGAAAGTAAAAATGCAAATTAATCGTTTAAAACCGAAAAAATCGCCCAGCCCTACTGTCAACTGTGTGTTTTGCTATGCCTACCAAACTTACAGCCATGCACTGAAGTCCTGCATATTTAAACCGTTGGTCACCCTGACTGAATGTTCCCCTGATACACCCCATATCCCCAGCCCTGTCTGAAATGACTCTAGCCGTCTCCAAATTAAGTTCAGCTGCTTTCACAGAAAGGCTTGTAATGCTAAACTTCTGTGCATTCAATGAATTATTGAGATTCCTGATGTAAAGCATCAGGTCATTAGGGCATGTGTTGAACACGGCTACAGATGTGCCAAAACTGGATGCTAACCCAGACGCACCACGTGTGCCACAATCAACGACTACAATACAGTCATTGTGTTTAATAATGGCACTGGCTGCGGAATTTAGGTTAAACAGACACATGCCATCCCTGGATAAGTGTTCAAGCAGCTTCTCCGACAATACCTTATCCCCTTCAGACAAATTAAATTCGCCGTACACTGGCAGACCCATATTGACGTTCCACTTACGTCCAAACACACTGGTCTGCTCAACCAACCTGCACAAGTTCTTTGGCTTTACATTCATTTTATGGGCTTCCCCTAATACAAACGAGTTAAGCTTTGACCCTGCAACACGTATGGCATCGATATCTGTACTGCTCCACGTACACACAGGCGCAATCAAATGTTTGATCGCAGCCGCTATAGAACATGCAACAGATATTCTATCATCAGAAACTGATGCATACCTCACAACAGTCCCTGCGACAACAGCCAACTGCACTTTTTCTGAACACATGCAAGCATAACCCTTACCTGTTCTCCATCTGTTGTCATCATCAACATCCACTATCACGCTGGGTGATGGCTCGTTGCTGGGTGATGGCAATGGCTCCACCCCTGGCAATGGCTCCAGCCCTGGGAATGGCTCCACCTGGAAGAAGATTAATATATAAAAAAACTGCTAAAAAGACTGTGTCTTAAATTGTTTCACAAACGTTTAACTAAATAATAGAAAGCTATACAATTATGAATACGAAATTATTATTATTATTATATATTAAGTTTTGTTTTTCTACTTACTCACACACATATTGAATGGAACTCAAAAGAGAGGTTTCTTGTCATTCATTGTGTACACTTGAAACAACGTTGACTGCATGCAGGCTAACAACTGAAACTATTTTAACAATGAGCAAAAGTAACAATGTCAATAAATTAGCATTATTCATTAAAATGTCACTCTGAAAGCACATCCTTCACACAAAGAGCACAGACCTGCTGCTCCACAGCAACTGTCCCTCTACTGGTAGGTGGCCGTAAAATCACCTCCACAACCATGGGAGCTGCCTCCCCCTAAAAAAACAAAACAATTAAGTAAACTTCACAATAAATAACACCACCAATATTTGTGTAACTTCTTAGTTTTAAACAAGTCCTATATTGCCTTTAAAAAAGAAGAAAACAACAACAACCTGTCGCATTGCCAGGGTCCTCGTGGAGGCAGGAGCCCTCTGCTTCAGCTCCATCTTTGCTTTCTAATGTAAGGAAAACAAAATGATTAATCCTCCACTAATAACTCCTTATGGACAGTATAAGTTCTCCTCACTGTAATACATTTCAAGTTTGTCAGGAAGGATACATTTTATAATAGGGCATCAACCAACATACAAAGCAACAAACAAATTACCTTTTGCCGTTTTGGAACCGGTGGTGTGCACTCATCAGGGCCAGGAAGATGGGATGGACTAATTTTGTCCATCTCAACCAACATTGCACTGCTGAACCACACAGGTGTCAGTGGAAGATAACTCTCCTCCAATTCCTGTGAAATAAAAATGAATAAACACTGTTTTAGAAAAAGGGGAAAAAATGCACATATAAACTGCAATAGACATACCCCAATGATTTGAAATCATAATACAAAGTTGACCTACCTCCTGCTGAACAGTCCCTGCTTGTTCAAGTGCATCAATGGACTGCTCAGGTTCATCGTGTTGGCTCCTCTGTAAAGATAAATAGCATAGCTTGTGTTAATCAAATGGGTACTCTTCCACCATTATCAAGGCAAACTGCTCAGGGAATATCACTCTTATTGAAAGATGTCAACCACACAATTACCTTCCTGCCCTGGCCGATAACAGTCCACTTGGAAGGATCCAGTTGCGGTGATTTGGCAACCTCTCCTTTGACAATCACCCTTGGAGTGACTCTCCTCGCAGGCGGTGATCTTCTGTGGACAACAGGAGATGGCGTCGGCTCGGCTGGAACAAGTTGCATATATGCTGCGTTCCAGATCGAACCGACCAGGATTGGCATTCCCGCACTGTCACTCAAGTGCACCTGCAAAAACCAGCAAATAAAAATACATTTACAAATAGCACATAACATTCAATATGTTTTTTCAAGAACGGAACTTGGAATTTCAACTCCAAAGAAGTATACAGAGAAAACTTTTCCATTTGCCATGTCACTCACGCCATCTCTGCTTCACAGGTCAAGTTCTTTCAAAGGGAAGTACTCTGCAATTTGTGTGTACTTCACGCCTAAAAAAAACAACAAGATCAATTACTAACATATCCACACAGATATTATATTTTGCTCTTTTAAAAAAATAAATAATGAAAAATAAGAAAATGATAAAAATGATTTACGGTACTTGAACCTAAATATTTGTTAAACATACCCATACGTGCCGCAACACGACGAAATTCCTGACGCATCATGTCTTGGTAGTCAGGGTCAACGGTAAGGCGCGGGGGGAAGTCCAAGGCAAAAACCTAATCAAAGTTACAGTTGTCAACTACAAAGGTACGCTATTTTTCACAATTTGTTGATAAAAATGTACATTTTTCAGAAATACATAAACATACAACCACATGGATAAGAATACAAAGTGTAATATTATAAGAACTATAATAAATACAATAAAAAATAAGCTTAGGTTAGGCCAGCGACTGCAGGCAGTCGCAAGGAGCTTTGCAAAATCCTCTCCTGCTTCAGTGATGGTCCTGCTGGATGTCAGGTTGTTGCTGGGAGCCATCACACAGACTGCATCTGGTGTCCTAGGCAGCACAGCATTGGCTGCCTCGGTTCGCAGCTGGGTTGCGCATGCCCCCGGTGTGGACATGGCACCAAAGGAAAACCTTCCCTCTGGCATCTTCACAATTCCATCGACGATGGAACGGAGATGTGAAGCTCCAACAAGGAGGACAAACTGTAACAACAGAAGACATTATTTCAAATGAAAATCACTAATGATTACCCAGACTTTGTTAACAAAATCTGAAAACAATTCATACTTCCTTGTCTGGAGACTCGGCTGGTACGACCAATTTGTGTTGTCGTCCGGTCAGGGACGAAATTGGCCATTTCCGCACTCTATGGCGGTCACCTGTACCGCCAGTGGCTATTTAAAAACAGAGAAAATGACACCGACATTAAACTTAATGAACCTTTACAATTCTTAAATTATGTCAGCAATAATAACACACCTTCCTACAATAACACCTGTAAACGGGCACGTGCAGAGGATTTTAGAAGGGAAACGGCTCAAATGCATAAAGGGTCACACCGGTGATTGAATTAAAAAATGTATATATTTAAAACATATCCATGTTTCAAACACTGCTTCATGACAGTTATCTAAAAATGAATGCAAAGAAATGAAGTGTATATCAGTAAATTCTCCTCATCATAACTAGCTCGCTTGCCCACAGAGGGGTGTATCTGTGCACGTGCCTGCCTGTAAAAAATGCACATGCAAACACATTTTACAATGATACAACAACAATGGACACCCTAAACATATACAACATTGAATGACAAAATCCTCCACTACTTACGTGCGAATCTGGCATTGCCAGGCCGCTGATGTCCCACACGGCTCCCAGCCGCGCGTAGCTTTGCAGCCTGGGAACGGCGGGACGATTTACCACGTGGCATCTGAAAGTATGTAGGCATTGTTATAATTAATAAAGACATTAGCGGACCCCTTAAATAGTACAAATAATTACACAATTACTTCTTTCAACTGCAACAAAAGCGTACAAGTCCATTAATAGTTGATGCATCCTGTTCAACAAAAATGTACTTACTGTAACTGGTCACGAGATAAAGCTGGGTGGTGAATGAGTAGGTGGTGAAGATAGTGGTGGTGAAGAAGGTAGATGAGTAAGGTAGATGGGTAGCTGGTCAAGCCGGTAGGTTGTTTAACTAGAACAGAGAACAAACTAATCAGCATCTAATCAGCATCACAGACATGTAAATATAATTACTTAACACAATGTACAATACAATTGCATAGCTTAGCATACAATACAGTTATAAACAAAACAATTAGCAATTGTATTAGAAGCTGCTAATCACTTAGATTTACACTAATAAAGAGCCTATCTGTTTTCATTATACGTTATGCTACTGACAGTGTCTTGGACCACAACTCACCGGTAGACAACTGCTCAAAGCTGTCAATCTGTGGGGAAAACACAGCATTAAACCCTGCAAAGAAAAGACTGGAAAGTTCCACATATTGTCATGGTATATGTTACTACAAACACTGTCTTTGACCAACACTCACCAGTAATGAACTGCTCAATAGTCGTCACTCTGTGAAATTAAAATTAAACCTTGCAAACACAATGCTTGTTTAAATAGCGAAGTGTGGACCTAGCTAACACACACATTCCCATATTAATGCACACATGGTCCACATAGTATTTGATTAAACATTTGGTCCACGTTAAAAAAAAAACGGAGATACTTAGAGCTATAAGTATGTCTGTGTGTGTCTTAACTGTCATCCATGTTGTCATCATCTAAACAATGATAGCAAATACTAACTATATGAATAAATATAGTATACCTTGAAATATATTTAATTGTTGATGAATTGTGAATGACTTAAAAAAAATAAAATACAATATTTACATTTGAATGTCAACTGCTTGCTGGGTTAGCAATGTTATGCATTAATGAATATGACATTTAAAAAAATGAGCGACCAATCAGAGCTCTCCTTCAGTTACTTTTTTTTGTTTTGCTTTCCAATAGAAATAGTTAATATTTACAGTAAAAAAACGATGTGGTTGCTATGTGTGTCTCTTTTGGCACGTTTCCACTGCAGGCCTCGCTCGGTTTGGTTAGGCCTTATTAGGCCCAGCTCACTTTAATGCTGCGCTTCCATTACAGTTTAGGAACTGGGGTAGTTACTATAGTAACGCAGTGTAGGCGGAGCCGTGACGTCATCTTCAATGAGAGCCCCAGAAAAACAACACAGCCGTTATCTCTTAGCACTCAGAGCTCACAGCTCCTCATATCTGTTCAGAAACTAGACAAAAGTTAAACAAGTACAAACCACAGACTGCCTGTGTCATGGCGAATACAGTCGCTGGTTTATTTATGTCTGTATAGGCCGTTGTTGCGAGTGTGGACGGTCGGAGCATATATAACGTTAGCTTAGCCAAGCTACATTTAGAAAACACGCATTTTAAAAGTTGTTTTTTTTAAAATGTTAACCAGCTTCACAATGAATTTATAAGGAGAACAGTTACTCACCTCAGACAAGATGCAAGAGAGACCAAGCAATAGTTGACTTACAACATATATGAAGTTCATAAACATGAGCGACCAATCAGAGTTCTCCTTCTGTAAAATATTTGTTTTCTCCCCTCCAATCAGAATAGTTAATATTTACATTCAAATGTCAACTGCTTGCCATGCAGACATGATAAAGACACATCAAAGGGCCTTTCCCAGAACTGAGCGACCAATCAGAGCTCTCCTATTTGGTATAGCAACTGGTTGCTATGCTCCGGTTACTTATCTTGTGTATCTTATCAAGCTTGCTTGCTGCAAATGTAATAATATTCAGATTGCTCTGAAGATGGGCAGTGATATTCTATTTTGTTTCATATTCACACAGTCGCTGATCTTTTGCCGGACCTGTTTTCCTGCATACAGCAGTTTAAACTGTATTTGTTATCCTGTAATATGATTGATAGCTTTAAACGGCACACTGAGCTCTGATTGGTCAGCAGGCGGTGTGTCTCTTTGTCATCCATCTTAAATGATCACCTCTCCTTTTCATGTCAGCCATTTTAAGTACAAAAAAGGCGGCAATCACTGTAGCGACATTTCAAATTTCCCAGAACTGAGCAGCCAATCAGAGCTCTCCTATCTGGCATAGTAACTGGTTGCCATGCCTCATTTCGCTCTTTGTGCTCTTTCCAGCGCTGTTTTGGCAGGGGGCTGATTCTGTGAGCTGCAGCTGACCACGCCCCCCTGCAGGAGAGGGAGCTGCTGTGCTGCAGCGGGGAGAAAAAGAGATCTCCGTCCTCCGTGTTTTATTCTTATAGAAGTAAGAAGAGAAGTAATGGGGCAGAAACCATAGACTGTATATATAAATGGACGTAGTGTCCGTGACGTCACCCATAGGATTCTGCAGAGTTGCCGAGAAGCCCTTAGTAGGCGGAGTCGGCCACTAACGGCTCGACTGTGACGTCAGAGTCTAATCCCGCCTGCTCCAAATAAGGGCAAAGAGGCGGAGCCGAGGCGGGACCTGCTGCCTCCGAACTGGAAGTAAACAGAGCTAGCTCAGGCTAACCCCCAAAACACACCAGGAGCGTCTGCGTCGTGTTACGGCCGCGCCGCGGCGGTCGTAAGGATCGCGACCACTCTAGTCAATGGGTGCTATTACACCACACGCGCCGTGTTACGGCTCAGACGCGTCCCAGAAGCGGCTCGGCGCAGTGCTTCTCTAAAATTATGATGAATCCTATTTTTGCCACGGCGAAGCCGTAAGGTAAACTCCTCCCCCCATCCCGCCGTAGTCTTTCAAGTAGGAGAATACATGCCAGCGTTCTCCTCCGGTTTACAAGCACTGTAAATGATATATATAGAATAATTATGACGATGAATGCATATTTTTTTACCACTAAAATACAGCAACACATCTTTGATTCATGTCGTTTATAACTGGAATATTACAATTATTATTAACTGTGTCTGTAGTCTACAACACAACAAAATAGGAAATAACAACAATAAACACGATTTAAACAGACACAAACATAAACCATTTAACTACGTATAGCCTACTTACTTGTAGAAGTACAAATGTCCAGGAAATATTCCAAAATCAACAACAACTGCGAGGCTGCACACACGACGCTCCGCTTCCGCAACGTTTTGAAACGCGTCTGGTGTGTGTTGACGCAGGAGGAGGTCGCAGCATGGCGCAGCCGCAACGTATCGCGGCGCAGACGCTCCTGGTGTGTTTTGGGGGTAAGAAGCTAAGCTAACATGAAATACATGCATACCAAGTTACTGCTAGCAGTGTAGTTCCCCTATATAAACGTTACATTCATCATCAAATGAGACAATCTGCAAGAGAATTAGCTATATTTTGTTATTCTTAATGCTTGTCATTCACACGTTGAGAAAAGACGGACTCCACCGCCCGGACCTAACGGAGCCGCAGTGGGCTAGCTCCGGGACGCCGGCTGGAGCTAGCCCCCTGCGGCTCCGGCGGCCACCACTGGGATAATTGGGTCCCCTATTAACATTTGCTCCCGTTTACCATTATGGGCGTCATAGCCATAGACTATAAAAGTCTTACCCAAGGCTGAATCATAAACTTAAATGTATATGTATGTATAAAGGGTTAGGCCTACGTCCTTAGCTGGCTAATTAGTAGCAAGCTTAGCTACCAAACACACACCTGCGAACGGGGTTAACATGTATAATATTATAATTTTAGACTTCTTGTAAGTTCTGTTAGTACATTCAAGCGCACAGCACAACATTTGAATTGTCTGGTATTTGTAACAATATTCCCTAAAAGGCAAAATCACCACGAACACGGCTAAAGGGTCAAGTACAGTAACTACAACTAACTAACGTTGTAGCCTCTATGGTTGTGGCCTGCACAGTTCACAGTCGGTGATCTTTTGCCGGATCTCTTTTCCTGCATACAGCAGTTTGAACTGTATTTATTTTATCCTGTAATATGACTTGATAGCTTTACACTCTGTACACTGAGCTCTGATTGGTCAGCAGGCGGTGCTTTCACTGAGTTGATCTCTTATCTGGAACATAACCTGCTCCGGAGCCACAATACACAAAACACAATGTTGTCCTAATTCAATGGAAAAAATTCCAAACACCACCAGACTTCAGACTATCATTAATGGTCCGGCCCTCAACAGCTCTATGTCAATTAGGGGATGTCCTCATATGCCGTTGCCATGGCTACGCCGCTGCGTCCCTCGCCAATAAACCTGGTGTTGTCCTAATTCAATGGAAAATGGTCCAAACTGCACCAGACTTCAGATGGCAGTTAATGGTCCGGCCCTCAACACCTCAATATGACAATAGTGAGTTTTCCTCAAAAGCTGTTGCCATGGCAACGCATCCCTCGCCGTTAAGCACCATATTGCTAGAACTCCTGTGTAAATGGTAAAAAATTGTTAAAACTTCACATGTGTGCTAACATGTGCTAACCGTCAAGCCCTCAAGATATATATGTGTCAGTTTTGAGATTAAGTCAAATGTCGTTGCTGTGAAGTTAAACTTCTGTTGTTGCAATGTTGAGGTAGAATGAAGGAGTCTGGAACGTCATTAGCCAAAGCACTGAGAGTTTTATTGAACACAGTACAGACAATACGGCCGGGAGATCATCTTAGTTTCCCACCGTCCCGTGGTCCACCAAAATCATTTCTGTTCAAAAGTCACAAAACATCGCCGCTACACGAGGAGAGGCCGGCCCACAGAAGCCCGCGTTTACCTAATCAATAGCAGATGGGAGAGAATAATCTCCTTATCTCAAAGAGATGCAGCCAGGTCTCAACCCTCCCCCACGGATATAGGAGAAGCGTTTGACCTGTGACCTCAACCTACAGAGGAGTCTTTGACTGATACTACAAACACATGTTTGCAGTATCACAGAGTCTAAGAAACTATAA